CCCCGGACCCAGGCTGTGGTGGGAGACATGTTACAGCTTCGCTGCGAGGCCCAGAGAGGCTCTCCCCCAATCATGTACCGGTTTTATCACGAGAATGTTACTCTGGGGAGCAGCTCAGCCCCCTATGAAGGAGAGGCATCCATCAACCTCTATCTGACTGCAGAACATTCTGGAAACTACTTCTGTGAGGCTGACAATGGCCTGGGGCCCCAGCGCAGTGAGGTGGTGACACTCAAAGTCACAGGTGAGTTGTCCCTGCCCACCAGCAGCACCACTGCTACCGTGCCTTCTCTCCCAGCCAACAGGGTGCTGCTGTTCTCCTGGGGCCCTTCCCACTGTCACATCCCAGCACACTGGCTGCCCGCAGCCTCCCTGTGAAGGTGTGGAGTCTGCCCTGAGGTGCTATCTCCGAAGCCTGGGTTCTGCCAGCAGCACAGGACGAACAGTTGTCTTGAAAGTGACCAAATCTGTTCACTAAAAATGCAAAGAAGACATTTAGAGCATAGACTATATTCTGACCTGAAATTACGATACAAAGGAGAAACCAAAGAATTTTGAGTATGGGTTTCTCTGCCCCCGCAAAAGATTAAGTTTCTTCTTATCTGCTCTTGAGTTTCTTTCATTACCAGAGATATAAATGTTCCTTACATTTCCACATTAAAAATCCTGTATTATAACAAGCTGTGGGCACAGCCCTGTGTTCAGCGGACCAGGACAGGGAAGGGAGAGCAAGATGACACAGATTGGAAAGGGCTACCCATCAACCAACTCCTCCATTCTCTTACCCATCCTTTGACCTCTTGCCATTTAGGGTTATAACCCAAGGAAAGCTCCTTCCTGTGTGCTCGAATCTGTTTGGTGAGGTGCCCCTACAAACCAAATCTCTAACCCCCAATTTAGAGAGGGCTGGAGAATAACCAAGTATGCTCACGGCCATTAGGATGAATGTTGTAGACTTGCTTGAGGATAAAAAGCCACCTGACTTTATCCAAGCATCTTTCCCTGTATTGACCTCAATTTCCTTTCCCTCACTGTGGAAAAATCAGACTAGATGAAAATTACAGTCATGCCCTGCCCTAGAATCCTATGATGGATGGACAGACAATGCAGAGTATGCAGACCAGAGGCGCCCGGGAGACGTGCCGGGGAGGTAAAGCTGGGGCTCCCTACTCCTGGGATACACCGCAGAGAACAGGAGAGTATGCAATTGTATGCAAACATCCTCTTAGTCATGTAAAGCAAAATATAGATCAGCACTATAAGCTCCTCCTGGCTGGGCCCCTGGGTATTGTAATAATAGAGACAGGGCAGTGCCTGAGGCTCAAGAGAGTAGGGCGCCAACCTCATATGCCAGAGGTGGCGGGTTCAAACCCAGCCCCAGCCAAAAAAAAAAAAAGGAATAGAGACAAAGCCAGACCAGCTGGTTGATGTGGCAATGCTAGCCCATGATCCAGAATCTCATCAAGGTGGCCGATACAGCCATCTCTCTGGCATCCAGGAGGGGACAACTTCAGATTTCCCCTTGCAACCAGCTTACTCTTCTTCCCCCTTGGGGCAGCACCAGCCTCAGCCAGTTTCCGGCTGAGATTGGCAGGGACTGTTGCTGCACAATTTGTACTCTCATCCTCAGACGCACCCCCCGGGCATGTGCCACGGTCAGTGCTACCCCTCCCACTTCACAGCACAGTGAACCAGCACATCGTGACTTCAGGGCTCCCTGCTCACCCCACTCCTGTTTCTACAATCCCTATGTGCAAATATGTTTTCTGCTGCTGCTGTCACAGCAACGGGGCTTCTTATCTTCAGCCTGGATAGGGTGTGTCACAGGACCAGGCACAGATCATAGAGAGGCCATGAAACGGAACTGCCACGAAAAAGAATACTTTTCATTATCAGCAGCAGTCACTGGACCCTCACCATGTGCCAGGCCCTGTGTCAGTGCCTGAGAAGCGACATCACTGAGAGAAATCTGTGAGGATGAAAATCAAACCACTGTTATCCCCAGGTGGCAGGAGAGAACACCGAGGCTCAGAGAGGTGGAGTCAGCAGCTCCCCTGGCTGGCAGGGCCAAAGCCAGGCCCTGTCCAACTCTTTGCCCTACTCTACATTATGACCTTTCTCCAGCCATCATGGTCACGTTTCAATACACTTTTTTAGTTTTTAATAATTCATTATTCTGACAGAATATGTAGATCTTTCATGATAAAAATCCCAACAATACAAAAGGGCCAGCATGGCAAAGTGAAGGCCTGTTCCCACAGACTGTCACATCCACAGAGTTCTTGGCCCAGACATAACCATGGTTAACCACCCACCCTGTGGGCATCCTAGAAAAATTCTATAAAGATAAAAGCATAGAATTTTTTTTATAAAAACAAAATCGTATTGCACATAGCAACTTGCATTTTTTTTTTTTTTTACTTAAAAATACACATTGACCTACTTAAGAACGACATCTTGGTTATCTATCATTTTTCATTACCCAGCGTGCTAGGTTGTCTCTAGTTTCTTGTCAGGGTCCCGTCATGGACGCCACTTATCAGGGCCCAGGACTGGTTGGTCTCTGGCCCCAGCCTACCTAGCTGTGTTTCAGATGCAGGCCGCTATGCTGTTATCTCGCTCAAGAACATTGCTCTTAGGTGTCTGAGGACTATTTACCTTAGCAGAAGGGAGAGAGAGAGAGAGGTAGTCTTCCAGGGTGAAGTAGTCTGGGAATAGATCTTAGTCTTTAGCAGAGCTTAGTGATCTTCAGCAGAGAGATACCATGCCGGCATTCTGCAAGCAGGAGAGGAGACAGACTGAGAGTAAACAGGTCCGTGATAGAACGTGCACCCTCCTGGCTGCCTTCTCCTCCAGCCTAATATAAGGCTGATCTCGTGCTTCTCAACACCACAGGTGTAGAGACCACCAATTCACTAATGCTCTCATCTTGCATGCTCTTAATGCTTGTTAGGAGACCTGAATCCCTCCCCATGCCCTTTTCACCAAGGTGTTCCATTATTGAGCTATTCAGGTGTTTCTTATAACTTTTACTCCTAGCCATAGGCTATATGGGCTGCTACAGTTTTTAGTTATTACAGAAATGCTACAATAGAAATTCTTGTGCAGATAACTTGGCATAGTACATATCATTATCCATAAAGGAGATGGTCCTAGAAGTAGATTTGCTGGTCAAAGTTTACATGAACTTCAAATGTGGTAGATACTGCCAAATTGCTATTCAGGGAAGTGCTTTGAGTTTGTATTCCCAGCCAGGGCACACGAAGGTGCCTGTTTATCCAGAAGCCCATCAGAAGTATTAGTCCATTTAAGCATTGCCAGTTTAATGAATGAAGAAAATAATAGTACTTTATGGCCGTTTTTATTTGTACATATTTAATTAGTACTGAAAATGAGAATCTTCTTATCTATTTGTTGGCTATTTCAACTTTTCAGTGATTTGTATGCTTTTTACAATTTTCTTTTGGATTTTGTTGACACTGAAAGTTATTTATACATCAAAGTAATTAGCTTTGTCTATCATATGTGTTTCAGTCTGTTTTCTACAACTGAGATCTGACTTTGTGTGTTGATTTGTTTATCCTACTTTTTATTTCTTACCCATATGTGAGAAGCAGAAACTGCTATTGGCTTTTTGTCTCCCTCAGTTCCAGCGTCTCGCCCCATCCTCACCATCAGGGCGCCCCAGGCCCAGGCCATGGTGGGGGACACGGTGGAGCTTCGCTGTGAGGCCCTGAAAGGCTCTCCCCCTGTCCTGTACCAGTTTTATCATGAGGATTTTACCCTGGGGAATAGTTCAGCCCCCTCTGGAGGAGGAGCATCCATCAACCTCTCTCTGACTGAAGAACATTCTGGAAACTACTCCTGTGAGGCCAACAATGGCCTGGGAGCTCAACGCAGTGAGGTGGTGACACTCATCTTCACAGGTAAGTTTCTTATGCTCAGGCCACAGATACGGACACATTATGTCCTGGAGGGACACTCTGACAATTCTCAGATGCTTGTTCGAGACAAGTCCCCAGAGCTGTAGTCCTCTGAATTGTTATTTTCTGACGTGTCTCTGAAGCATCAGTTCAGGGGCTGGTGCAGGGAGTGCAGGTAACAAGCATTGCTGAACTCTCGGAACTTATAGCCCATCAGCTATCTGCCTCTTCACTCCCTGGCCACCTCTCTCCAGGCCTCCACCCTGGCTGCAGGTGCAGACATGAGCTTCCTAGCAGCCCCTGCTGACCCGCAGGGATCCTGGTCACCCAGGTTCACCCTCTGTCCCAAGCCCAGGCACCAGCTTCAGGGTCGGAACAGCTCAAGACCACAAGCCCCTTCCTCTGGTTCATGCATGGGGTCTCTCCTCAGGGCTTCCTGAAAACAGAAAGGGTCTTGTTGCTACGGGAGTCACTGGGGGGCTGTTCAGCATGACAGGCCTTGCTGCCGGAGCGCTGCTGCTCTACTGCTGGCTCTCAAGGAAAGCAGGTGGGTGGCCCCCCGGGCACACCTGTGCCCCACAATGCCCCGCCAGTCCATTCCTTCACCCTTAGGCTCTCACGAGCCCCTCCTCTCCCATCCCTCAGTCCCTCCCCTTAACCTCTGGGTCCCCCAGAGTCCCTTTTACCACATGCAAAGCTCTCAGAACAGCCTTACTAGGTGGAAGGCCAGATGAAAGGCAGTTTGTCCAGCATGGGCACCTGCCGGGGACCTCCCTCTCTATCCTCAAAGACCCCCAAGGAATGGGGAGAGGAGAAAGACTCTGAGAAATAGAGTGGAAGTCAGAAACCAAATGGGACTTGGTAACATACTCATTTTTTAAATGTACACTATTTTTATAGCTGATCAGGCTGACAGGGTGTCCCGAAGGTTGCCATACATACACACTTACAGAAAATTGGAAATTGTAACTGAATGTACCCTTGTTTATAAAATATTCATTGCAAAATTTTACAAAACTCCAGGCTGAAGGATTATGGACTGTGCACTCCCCTTTCTCACTGTAAGCCCAGGGTCAGTACTTCTGCTCAGTCTGCTACCTCCCTTTGGCATAGCAAAGAAGGCTTCAAACTTCTAGGTACCCCCCCATCACCCCCCAAGCTGTGCCACTTGGAAGGTCTTCTCTTCCTGAATCCAGTGCCCCTTTACTTTCTTTCACAGGGGGAAGGCTTGCCCGTGACCCCTCCAGGTAAGAACTCTGCTGTACTCCTCTGTGATGAATGAGATGCTCACAGGTGAATAAATGGAATTAGATCTGGTTATTAACAAAAGCTCAGGTTCCGCTGAGTGTTTCAAAGAGAGATTGTACCCACTTCCTGTTGTTACCTCTCTAGGGATATCTCAAGTCAATTGCTAGGATTTTCTCACCCACCACCTTAGCTGTGTGGGCCGCCTTCTCACATCAAATGCAAATGGATTTTCATTTCTTAACTCACATCCTTGGACCATTGCTGGCTTGGTTATCTAAGTGACCACTATGATCACTGAATCTATACCTATCTTGCAAGGATCTTCCTTAATCAGCTTGTAAATCTCCGGAGATGGCCAATCTAATTAACACCTGTTGTGATGATGTCCAGATGAGGCCACACAACCTGGCCACCAGAGAGGTCACTGTGGCAGCAGAAGGTAGTGCCAATGAAGAAGGGACCAGCATCTGGTACCCAAAGGCTGACTTTAGGAACCACACCATGGCTCACAAACTATGTCTGGGCAAGCCCACAGCAGCAGTATCCAAACCATCCAGAGTTCCTCTGAGCCACTCTGATTACTGATTTCTCTGAGACCCTAATGGTTCTGCAGCCAGGCACGAATCTTTGCTCTTCCCTTTGCAGGTTACATGGTCCTGGTAAGTCACTTCACCTCACGGAGACTTTCTCATCTATAAAATGGGAATAAAATTTCTACTAAAAATAGAAAAACTTGCCAGGCATTGTAGTGGGCACCTGTAGTCCCAGTTACTCAGGAGGCTGACGCAGGAGGATCTCTTGAACCCAAGTGTTTGAGGTTGCTGTGAGCTGGGCTAACACCATGGCACTCAAACCAGGATGACAAAGTGAGATTCTGTCTAAAAAAGAAAAAAAGAATGAACTTAATATTGTTATAAACATCAGCATAGTGTGTGTTACTTGTCAGGGGGCCATAAAGCCTGAAAGCAAAGACAATTGTAGTCTGTCATGATCAATAATGTGACGCTCATAGGCCACTTGTTATGTGCCCATCTGGGCTTCCAGGCTTTGCGGCTTCCCTGTGCTCACTAGCCAGGAGAAACCATCATAGTAATTGTGTAGGGATTCCTGGTAAACACCAGCATTTCTGTGTCCCACAGGAACCCTTCAGACTTGAACCCCCAAGAGCCCACCTACTACAATGTGCCAGGCTGGATAGAACTGCAGCCGGTGTACAGCAACAGTGAGGACCCTGAGGCTGGGAGGGGGTGGCAGGGTTGGGGGGCAGGAGCTGATGAGGGGCTGTGTGGAGGTGGAGGGCTCTGGTCCTGCCAGAGGACAAACTCTAAGTGGGGGAGGAAGAAGTAGCTCAGACAAGAGGCAAGAACCTCAGCATCCTCTGAAATTTCAACCTGTTTCTCAGTAAATCCTAGCAGAGGGGATGTGGTTTACACCGAAGTCCAGAGCATCCAAAAGAAAAACAAACATACAGGTAAGACCTGGGGAGGCCTCTGTTCCGGCTGGTGCTCAACTCAGCCTGCTACTGGATAGTTTGGTCTGCATGCACCCTGGGCCAGCTGGGCATGGAGAGCTGGGGTTATGGGGCTTCCTAACTTTACCAATGGTGCTCAGGACATACCCAAGCCTACCACAAGGTGCCACTTTCTCCATTCTCTATAGATGTCCTCAGTATAACCCGTATAACAAAATCATTCCCTTGGCCAGTCACTTAACCTCTCAGAGCTCCTATGTCCTCATCTGTAAAAGGGGACTGGACCATCATTCCCTACTGTCTTAGGCAGTTTGGGCTACTATCGACTGTGTGGCCCAGACATTTATTTCGGCTGGAAATCCAAGATCAAGGTGCAGCCTGGTCAGGTTCCTGGAGCGAGCCTCATTCCTGATTTGCAGAAAGACGCCTTCTTACAGACAGATTCTCACATGGCAGAGAGAGAGAGACCATGTCTCATATCTCCTAAGAACACTAATTTCATCCAGCCTAATTACCTCCCAGGCACCCCACCTCTGAATACCTTCGCCTTGGGAATCAGGACTTTGACATGTAAACTCGGAGAGGGACACCAATATTCAGTCTGATCACCTGCCTCCTGGCATTACTTTTCTGTTGCTGCTGCGACACCTTACCCTACACTTAGCAGAACCAAACAGTGTAATTTTGTTATCTCACAGCCCTACATGTCTCAGAATCAGATCCAAGTCTCCCTGGACTGTAATCAAGGTGCTGGCCGGGCTGTGCGCCATTATGGAGGTGCTAGATGCGGATATGGCCTCTCTAGTTTCTAGAGGCACCTGCCTCCTGGGCTTCTTCCTGCCTTCTTCCATCTTTGAAGCCGGTGATGTTGCATCTCTCTAAACACTCTTTGGTGATCAGGATCCCCCTGACCTTTCAAAACCAGGGAGAACTCCTGCCTTTAAGAAGCCATGCATTATATTGGGCCCACCTGGACAGTCCAGAATAATCTCCCCATCTCAGTGTCTGTCATCTTAATTACATCTGAAAAGTCCTCTTTTCCAGCTACAGTGACATATTCACGGGCTCCAGGGATTAGGGCATGGATCTCTTTGAGGAGATGTTTTTCTGGCTACCACAAGGTCTCCCAGTCACTGTGAGGATTCCATGAGTGGCAGCACCACAGAGACAGCAGAGCGTGATGACAGTGGCTGCACACGTCGTCAGCTCTCACTCTCAGCAGGTGGTTTGCAATGAGGGACTCCCAGCCTGGCTTCCCCCTGCTCAGAGCACGAAATGGGAGCAAGGTCCCTGAGGGTGGCCTTCTCTAACTCTGCTTTGGAAAAATGTTATGTGATTTTAGCCAATGAGCTTCCCTCTCTGGTTTTACAATTTCTCTTGTATAAAGTTCACGGAAATGTGTTGGCATCCTAATCTTGGTTCTGTAGCACCCCTCTAAGAATTGAACTTATTCACCTTTACAACCCCCTTTGAGGGAAGCATACCCCCACTTAAAAGATGTGGCAACTGAGGCACAGAGACCTTAAATGACCTGTCTGAAGTCATATAGCCAGTAAATCACCTGCCTGTCTCCAGAATCTGAGCTCTGGACCAGACTCATTGTGAAGCCAGGGAGCCAGAAAGAGTGAGCCCTATCTGGGGAATATCCAATTTCACTAGTTTGAATGTAACACAATAGAATTAACAACTCCTCTTGCCTACTGCATGTTGAACTGTTCTTATGTGCTGGGTCCAGGTCTAAGTGCTGTAAATTAGTACATTGTATATATATACACGGCCCTGGCCACAGAGACATCATCAACAGAGAGAGAGAGAACTTGCCTATCTGTAGCACTCAGGACTGTACCTGCCACATAGAAACTGCCCACCACATGGTAGAAGACAGAAGTTACCCCTGCACAAACGTGAACATAGCCCACACATGTGTGGATGCACATATATGAACACATAGAACTTCACCGTGATCCTGTAGGCATATGATATTATTATCCCCACCATATAGGGAAGATGTTGAGTGACTTGTCCAAGGCCACTGAGATGGCAAGGCAGCTGGCCTGGCAGCACAGGTGCGGGGAGGGCACTCCAGCAGGCTTTTCATGGCTAACCACTTCCCTCTTTCCACAGCGGCCTCTGCACCTGGGCATTCCAAAAACAAGGTGAGTCTAAGGACCTGTGTGGCCTCCCCTGAGGGCCCCCCAGCCCTGGCACTCACCTGTGTGCTCTCACCTCCTAGGCCACCTCTGTCATCTACTCCGAGGTAAAGGTGGCATCTGCCCCAGCCTCCACGTCCCAGCTCTCAGATTCCACGACTTCCTCAGCTCCTCATGGATGAGTCCACCCATCTCCCCAACTGCCGTCTCAGCCTCTGCACCCCAAAGTTCCCCTCAGGGACGAGGGAGCACTGAAGTGGAAAGACATCCAATGGCCTTCATGCCACGTGCCATACTCTGTCTGACCAGAACACAGAGCCTGGCTGGACTCCCCCCAGCTGCCTGGGTGACAGCCCTGCCTGGAAGTTTTTGTCTAGTGACAAGTTGCTTCCAACCATGCCAGGACCCACCAGGTCTCCTGCCTTTCTTAGTGGGCTTCAACCTCGGCCACTGTCTCCATTCCTGCTCCAATGCACAGCCCCACTGCTCCTCGACGGGGACAAGCTGCTCCTGAACTCCAGCACGAGGCCCTGCTCCCAGTGGTGCAGCTTCAATTGCCATCAGCCTAGTGGGACCACTGTGATGCTTTGCCAGGGGGGCAGCCCCAGACCCACAGACACCAGGCATGTTATTATAAATGTGTCTCTTCAAGGACCACATTTCACACCCCCAAGGCCAGCGCCTGATGCCAGGATAACCTCACCCTGCTCATGGGCCAATGTCCACCTGCCCAAGTAAGTGGATGTCACATCCCAGGCCCCTCATACCCACCAGGGCAGCAAAGGCAAGGCCAGGAGGACCAGCACACAGATAGAAGGCACATGGGAATACAGGAGATGCCCAGTTACCACCTGGCTGAATGAACGAATGAATGAATGCATAAGGAAGAAACTACGGTGATCAACCTGACATCCTGTCCACTGTGCTCCAGGAGCAAATCCAGGATGCACTCTGTCTTCCCTGAGTCAGAAATAAACCACGAGAATGAGTCTGGGCGAGGGAAACTCTGTCAGGAAAAGGGAGGGACCTTAATGCCCTCATGGATTCCCTGAGGGTCTCATGCAAATACAGCTTCTGATTCAGCAAGTCTGGGTGGAGCCTGAGAGTCACCTTTTCTCCCAAGCTGCCAGGTGACACACAATCTTGGGATATTACTGGTACTGAGGCAGGGGAGAAGCTGCATGTGCTCTGGCTGCCTGCGGCCTAGGTCCATTCACGGGTCACCTACCCCTGCGCATCCTTCAGGCAGCTCACCACCAGCTGCTGTTGCTGAGAAAATTTCTTCAGTCACCCTAGGCAGGGGACACAGCCACCACCTCCCTTGGGCCTCACACGTTCCCAGGGAGAGTGACTAGATGCAGCCCCCTGACTCCATGCAAAGTGCTGCTCTCTTGCCTCCAAGCCTGAGATGTTTAGTTTGGCCATCGCACCTTACCATGGCACCATCACACTTTACCTTGACCTCTGTCCTCTGTGGATTCCACAGTAGGGGTCATTTCTTAGCCCTGTTTCCCTGAAATAAAATCCTTCCTAAGGCCCCCTCTGCCTGGCAATGTCAACCTGCTTCCCGGCTCTCTCACAGCTATTGCCCTCAAACCCTGCCCCCAGGCATGGCCTGCCCTTCTACTTCCCTAAGGCCACCCCCTGCACTTCCTCCTCCTGGAGGGCTTTTCTTAAAAGACCCTCCTCCCAAGTCCAGCCATCTCTCAGGGTTCCATCGTGTTTCTGTGCAGGGAGCCTTGGCATCACCATCAGTTACTCTTGTAGGGGAACTTGTGCCCAGTTTCAGGGACATAACCCCAACCCCAGAGCTTATTAGGCCAACTCTCTAATTTTGTAATTGAAAATGGAGACCCATATAGGAGAAACAAATGGCTGAAAGTCACAACCAGCTAGTGGCATAGCCAAGACCTGACACCTAGGATGCTGTTCTTTCCTCCACAAGGCTCTCCTGTTACAGGGACTTATAAATTCCTCTATTTCCCCACATGGGGGAGAGGTCCTTAAAAACATGGCTCAAGTCCCATTCATGTGTACGCAGAGCCCAGCATGGTGCCTGGCACATAGCAGGCACTCAGTAGATGGCTGTCAAGTTGGATGTTGGTTAAGTTCTCCTGGTGGGTCCACAAACTTGTCTCAACCTACTCACTCTTAATCCAGGGAAATTCAGTCCATGTCCTCAGACCCCAGAAAGTTTTTTTAAGGATACCATTAAAATGATTTCTACCAGGTCTACTGTTAGCTTGACGTGAACCTCATGCCTTACTTAAAAGCTGCATGGCCGGCAGGTACCTCAAAGACAGAACCCCAGGTTGCTGTCCCCACAGGGCCTCCTTTCAGTCCCACTGCCACTGCCCTAGATAGCCCTGGCCACCTGACCCCAGGACCCTTGCAGTAGCCTTCCTAAAACCCAACCCCATTTATTCCTCTGTGTGAAATTCTATTTTCCAGAATCCAGGCTCACTAAGGGGCATGAGGCTCTTCACAGTTGAGCTCCAGCCCTGTCTCCAGCTCCATCTCTGTCACCACCCCAGCCTACGTGAACACACACAGTGCACTCCCACCATGCAAACCCTCCTCTTGCTGTACATGCCACCTCCTTTCACACAGCCAAGGCTTTGTACCCACTGCATTTTCCTGGGAACTATCCCCCATGCATCCCGTCTTTGAAACTCACTTGTCCTCCAAGACCCAACATGGCCTCTCAGTGCAGCCTCTCTCTTCCCTCCCTCCAGTCTCTGGGACCTGGCATCTGTGTCCCTCACAGCCCTTCTCTCATTACGACTCACCCTAGCTGGTCACCCTCCCACCCTCACATCACCCAGACACAGCATAGTTTGTAGTGACTAA